ACGATGTCCCACAAATAACTGAATTGGCCAGTGTAGCCTTCACAGTAATCACCCGGTGACTCCGACTTCTAACAGATCGCGGGTTCGAGCCGAAGGGATTGCAATACCTGAGGACTAGTGGATCACAGCTAATAAACCAGAAAGGCCCATTCCGGTTTCCCTTATCGGTAATGCTATTATGCCTCTGATACTGGTCGCTGTGTGGTTGCTGGCGGGGCTCAAGAACGAGCCCCAAGACAGAGCGAGACGAGTGAGTTCTGCTAGCGATCGGCGAACCTTCATCAATGAGTGTCAATATCTCCTGATCTAAACTGGCAAGCCAACGGACCCGTGGCTCGATGGTTTAAGCGTTTTGCTTCTGATCAACAGGTCGCGGGTTCCATTTATGGTGATCCAGTTGGGGATAACTGGTGGATGACGACTACTAAGCCAGAAATGGTCATTTCAGTCTCTCTTCTCTTTGCCGGCGATGCTATTCTACCTATGACATGAGTCGCTGTGTGACTACTAGGGGGCTCGAGAGTGAGCTCTGAGGCAAAAGGAACGAATGTGCCCTGTACCGCTATCGGTGAACGTGCATTCAACAATTTTAATATTCCCGATGTCAGCCGACGGGACAGCGGATCCACGTCCCAGGGATAGCAAAGCTTGGTTTTGGGTACAACAGGCTGATAAGGGCTAATGAGCTATTAACCTCTGAAGTAACTATTTTTTTCTAAAAAGCAACAGAACCTCTGGTCAAAAGCCTCCAAAGGTTATATTTTAGCAATGAATGTTTGGGTGACTCCACTAACCAACACAATGAATAGTACCAGGATAAGGGTGCAATATAGATAGACAGACGTAAAACACGTTCTAATAAAGTGCTAAGAAACCAGCTCATTAGACCGATAACGGTGCGTACATAAATTACCTTTCCTTTCCAACGCGTTACCGCCCCTCACAGTCCTTGAAATGCCTCCACTCATAAAACCCCTATTGCCACCTTTGCCGTATTACACGCTTACCTATCCATTGTGTTTGGTAGAGGGCAGTGGGGGGTCGCACAAACCTCTATTGCCCACGGTTAGGACTGTTATTAGAAGTGCTAAGAAATACCGAATCGAATTGTGAACTTGTTGATGTATCGGCCGCTTGAGTAAGGACTAGACCGCAGCGTCTAACTGGACCAGGAACAGGTTACTTTACACGAAATGGCTCAATTGCATGTCATCCGCTCCAAGAACCTACCTCACAGAGCAATCGCAGTAGAGTTTCCTCATTAATCAAACGAGAACTGGCATCTTCACGTATCTCAGACGATAGAGCACTAGATGCAACCAGGAGGATCGATGTTTTGGTTCTGTCCGAGGACCCAAATTCATATGTTCGTGCAAATAAAAATATTTTTGGTTATTCAAACCCTGAATATGCGCTAAAAAAACTAGGGGTGGATGTATTGCACAGTTAGTTCAAATAGGCTGTCAGTGTTCTTTACAAAGCTCGGCATGAATAATTTAGAAGTTTAGTGCACTAATTGTTGGACGGAAATGGTCATTATTATTAAGTTGGTTTGGCAGATTTGGTTAATTTAGTTGACCCAATTGT